GGGTTTGAACGCATTACGAAAACCGTTCGGTTAGGGTCGGGTCATTTTTTGCAGCTCGGTTAGCAGTTCGAGTGTGATGTAGATGCGAATCGGTCAAGCAATCTCACCATTGCACGATTGCAAAAGCACGACCGACACGTATCTGCTTCAGCTAGAAATGCAAAGTATGGCGCCCCTTATACCTAGGTATCTTTTTATGTGTCTCCAAAAGTTTTTTAACTCCTCTACAATTTCTTAACTTTTACTAGTGTTTTTTTTCTGTTTTCAAATAATTTATCGGTAACTAGCATAATATTACGGTATGTTACATGGACAAATTTGATAAAGAATTCAAATAATATGAGCAAAACGAGTTCTACGTTCGGAAACGCACGCCTCAATATGATAAAAGTGTCCTAAATTTCAACGGCTATAAAGGAATTTGTCCAGGTCTGTCGCATCTTTGCAAGTTGCAACCGACCAGGGTGAAACCTAGGACTTTTGAGGGTTCTGATGTGATTTTGAAGTATACAGCAAGGAGGATAGTCACAAAACGTACAATAAAAGAGGGTTAATGAAGATTACGGCGGTAGTGCAAACACTCCCTCCAACAGTGACGTCTCTTTCGTCGTCGTTTTGCTTTAAGGTCAAGGATAATGGAGGGCATGGAGCAGATTGATTGTTGTGTTGTTCGTCCTTGATTTTACTCAGAGTGCATAAAAAGCTTGGGAGAAGGAAGGGCTGATAGGACAACGTACAAGTTGATAACGCAGTCTTGCTGTCCTTTTTAATAAATCACTTCGCAGTATAATAAAGTTGAGTTCTTTATACTATTCTTTCGTCATCATCATCATCAATGCATGTAAGCAGTATGTTTTTTGCTTTCTGTTTTTTTTTTCAAATTCAGATACAATATTTTGAGAAGTGTCCTTGTCGGCGATACTTGAGATGAAAAAAGGGGGGTTGCTCTCCTAGAAGCTCACAACCTAGTGTGTGTGTTTTCAGTATGAAAGGTTTTTTTTCACCAGTTCCTCAATTCACGGCGTCCATGTGATGCTAAGCAT